TTGGCTACTGGAATGTTACTCTCCAAAAGTATTGAAAGTAAAATTAGGAGAGCAACATAACATTTGTTTTTAATATTCATAGATCATGTTTTGATGATCTTTGTACTAGTTTTAATGTTATAATTGTTTGTGTGTGTATTATATATAAATATGCATGCCCATCCTCACAAACTGGTTGAGATTCAAACCCACAACATTTTATACAAGGGAGCAACTTGGTGCTATTGGACCACAAGGTCCTTGGCAATCTGGCTTGCTTTTTAAGAGTATTGAAATGATAGAAGACAAGTTCATTCTTCACAAATGATAAAGGACCTTTTGAAATGATAAAGGACCTTTTTAACTGTTGAACCAAATTACCCCCACCAATATTTTATTTAAAAAGTCGAACGTCTTTCCGGCCAAATTCCACCGGCAATTTGGCCGGGAGGACCAAATCTGCTAAAAAAGTGATAGTTAAAGGACTAAATTGTTAGTTTTAAAAGTCACGTACCCAAATTAACACACCCTATATAGTTACAGGACCAAAAGTGTAATTTGCTCTTAACCATTATAACGTCAAAAATTTCGACTAAAAATTTATATTGTGATTCAAAATTTACTATACAAGTGAAATTATGAATATACATCAATGTTGCAAAAATCGCGCCTAAGCGCCGACAGATTATCACCGTAATCAATGGTCTAGGCAGTAGGTCGTCTACCTAGACCGCCTAGCCAGCCAATTAGCTATTATTCTCCTATATATATATATATATATATATATATATATATATATATATATATATATATATATATATATATATATGTATATATATAAGAGTTTTTTTAAGAAAATATATAAGAGTTATTTCGCTCAAAATGATGTCCTTTTGAGCGAAATAACGCTAAATCTTTAAATCTTAGATATTTTTTAGGTTAATATTTAATATTTTAGTATTAACTATTAAAGTATTAAATAATTTATAATTATATATCAAGTCTTAAAAAATTATGAAAAAAAAATTTAAAACAAATTTTAAAAAAATATAAAATAAGATTAAAAAAAACGTGCGCCCCTAAGAGCACATAACGATTTTTTCAACCATGGTATATACTCTGAAGAGCCTTATTAGATGAACTCCATTTTTTTTTTTTATCATTTATACCTGAAAATACTTGAATTTCTAATCACAAAGGTGGTCCAGAATCAATTTTTTTTGTCAGAAACAAACTCTTCTACAACTTTTTCTTTTAAATTTCATCAAAATAAATAATTCACGTCACGGAGTTTTAATTTAGAGAGTAATATTTGAAGATGTTTTTTTTTTTTTTTTTCTACATTGAAAGGTAGTGATGATTCTTAAAAGAAAAATGGACTGACAAACAGAAACGTAGATAAAATGGTCCCTCAGAATTCACAAAACCAACGGTGAAGAAATACAGGTTTGAAGGTGGACATTTTTGGGAGGCAGAGTTAATGACACTCCGTGGGGGCCTATGGAAAATCGACACGTGGACGTACGGAAAGGAAAATGACGTAAGTGAGGAAGACTATATAGCATTGCCATTATTGTACACATAAATACACTTAGCTGTATTTTGAGTCCAAACTTTTTGTTGGGCGTTATTCATGTCCTCATCTCTATATAATTGGTGTTTATTTTAGGATTACTTCTAGTCTTCTTCTAGTTTCGTGCAACGTGGTACTATACCCAAAAATATAAATACATAACTCAAATGATTTGTAAGAAAATTGAGTAAAAAAATAAATAAATAAATACAGAGTTAATACCCAAAATCGTCATCGACTATATTGATTTTTCTCAATTTCGTCCTAAACGACTTTGGTGACCTAATATCGTCCTAAATTTTTGTGTTTCGCTCAATTTAGTCCCAGACTTTTGTGTTTTTGCTCAATTTAGTCATTCATTTGTTATTCTGTCCATTTGGTGTTAAATAAATAGACAATTCAGTAATTTTAATATTGGCATCTCTTTACTCATAGACATGTGAACTGCGAAATCTTTTTTTTTTTTTTTTTTTTTTTTTTTTTTTTTTTTTTTTTACGAATTACTCCCAGAATTACTCCTAAAACTGCGAATATAAAATTTGATTTGCAGGCTCGGGAGTAATTATGGGTGTAATTCGTACAAGAAAGAGGAATTTCGCACTTCACAAGTTGAAAGTAAAGAGAGATCAATATTGACATTACTGAATTATTCCTTTATTTAACACCAATTTGACGGAATAACAAATGGATGACTAAATTGAGCAAAACACAAAAGTCTGGGACGATATTAGGTCACCAAAGTCGTTTAGGACGAAATTGAGAAAAACCACTATAGTCGAGGACGATTTTGAGTATTAACTCAATAAATACATAACTCAAATGATTTGTAAGAAAATTGAGTAAAAAAATAAATAAAATGGAAAGAGCTAAAGAAGCTCCCGAAATGTTTAGAAAAAAAGGTTAATTATATCTTCATATTACAACCAGGACTATGTGGTCTAATGGTATCCGGGGTGGACTTCCAAGTGGAAGGTTGTGATTTCGAGCCTCAGTGGAGGCGTTATTGGCTCTTTGTGTTTCAGTAGGTTGAGAAAGTATATGAATAGATATTACAATATAAATAGAGCTAGTAGCATTCAAAAAAAAAAAAAAATCTTCATATTACAAGACTATTCTTATTAGCCATCGAACTCTTATAATAATAGTTCAATTAGAACTTTATTTTAACTGTAAATTACATGCTATTGAAGGTTATATTACTCTAGGTTTCACATGTGTGTGTGTATATATATATATATATATATATATATATATATATTGTATACATGGATGCTACGCAAATTATTTTAATTTTTTAAAATCAGTTTTCTTTATTTAAATAAAATTAGAAAATTACAAGTTATGCTGATGTAGCATTCATGTATATATATAAAAAAAAAATTATACATGAATGTCACATCAACATAACAAGCCATAGAAGGTAATTTACTTGTAAAAAATGTTCTAGTTAAATTTTTTGAGATTTTGATGGTTGATATGAAACTTCTTGCAGTTGAAGAGTATAATTGATTTTTCTAAAATAGTTTGAGGACTTATTTGATTCGTCTATAAAGGAAAAAAAAAAATGTACACCATAGAAATATGATCTCTTGTACAAAAAGATTTATAATACCTTGAGGCACATCTATTACTTGATAATATTCAATTCGATGTTAAAATTAATGGTAATTAAGATAACAATAATGCTAGGTACCCTCATATTTTTTCCTTCCAATTTAATCCTCATAATGTCATTAGTTAATTGGTTACTAATTTTATTGTAACATTAGTGGTGGATTAGGCAATTCATAGCACCAAATGAGTGAAAATCCCATCACGAGAGAAATTTAAGTAGTGATATTAGGAGGCCGGTGTAAAAAGCATTTTCCTAAAGATAATTATAACTTGTGAATTGCTTGATCGACTTTGTCATTGGTTTTTTTTTTTTTTTTAAATAATTATAATCTAACCTTATATATGTGACTATTCCACATAATATGTCAACTCTTGAACTGGGATGAAACTCGAACCTATGTCTTTTCTAGTAATTAATAAATACTTTGGTCCTATTTGGTAAAAAATTGGCCTATAAGTCAATTTTGGCTTATTTGACAACTATTAATAGTTTGATTTAGTTAAAATATCAATATAAATGTTTGGTTAATTAACTTTTTGCAACTTCAAAAGGCTAAAATTCAAAAGGCTACTCCAAACAACTTTTTCAATTAACTTTTTGAGAAAAGAAATTATACCAAACAGCTATCAGCTAACAGCTAATTTACCAAACACTTTTCTACAATCAGCTAATACTATCAACTATTTATACCCTCTAATTAACACAATCAGCTAACAACTAACAGCTAACAACTAACAACCATTTTACCAAACAGGGCCTTTATGTAATTACTTAAATATATAAAATAATCTAATAAAATAATTCCACATCAAAAAAAAAAATTTTGGGGTGTTTAGAGAAGAGCATGTATCATGTATGATGTATGAAGACTCAATAATATAATAGGAAATCAACGTAGATGACACGTCTGAATTATATGGTGATGTTGACATGTGCTACTACTTTCTTTGTATGAGGGGTCTATACTAAAGACTAAAGTTAAGTGTGTCGTTGCATGCTACTCAAATGTACACGTTTATATACTTGATGATCTCACTTATTTTATTATCATTTATCTTATTTGCATCTTGCAAAATTAGAATAGTCGATATGAATTTCAAGAGGACGCTCTTAAAGTATTTTTATCTATATATTTAAACAACTCATCAATTCATCTCACATGAGTCTACTCTTTTTTATATACCACTTATGTGTCTGATTTTTTTAACGAATTTAATTTTTTATAATATTAAATTCAGTATTAATATATAAAATTTCTATATATTAAAATTACATTAAAAGTACTATTAAACATAAAAAATTAAAAAATAATTGAAAATTACTAAAGAAATTTAAACAAATAAAAAAGAAAATATTGGTTTAGCCAATAAATAGTAAATAAAATAGAGGAAATATAATTTTTTGTAGTTGTATCTTGAGAGATTGAAATAGTTTATTTAAATTTCGAGAGGACCCCATAAAAAAACTGACAAATACATATTTAAATGACTCAACTACTTCCATAGAAGCCTAAAGCTATATATAAAAATCACATTTGAATCTATGATATGCACTTACCACTATATCAAAAGTTATAATTAGTAACAAATGTGTAATTTTATTTCTTTTTACTTTTATGTACTGTAATTAATGTCATGTTCAATAATTAAATACTGAATTTGGCTCTCCAAACCCTACTCATAGTATTTTACTTATCTTATTTTAAGTTTTTTTTTTTTTTTTTTTTTTTTTTTTTTTTTTTTTTTAAATTAAATTTCTGTTGCTACTTGGGACCTATCTTAACATCCAATCCATCACTAGATCGATTTGCGTAGAAACCACTTGATTGCCCCTTTTCTCACTCTCACTCTTATCTTTGGACCCTAAGAATGATTTCTCTCTAGAATTCTTGAAATGATAAGAAAATGTTATTTTTTTGTTTTTCCCTTTTCCATCATCATATCATAAGAGTCAAACCATTATATTAATATAATCCTCCCTCCCTCTCTTAGTCTCTCCCTCCCAGAATTAGCTTGAGCTTGGAGTGACAGACAACATGGGCCGACATTCTTGTATGGTGAAGCAGAAGCTGAGGAAAGGGCTATGGTCGCCGGAGGAAGACGAGAAGCTGTACAATTACATCACCAATTTCGGCGTCGGCTGCTGGAGCTCCGTCCCCAAACACGCCGGTAACTTCATTCATCATCACTTTTCTTTACATTGATCATCAGTTACGTTGGGTATATCCATATATGATTGTTGTGATGGAATTCATGCAGGATTGCAGAGGTGTGGGAAGAGCTGCAGATTGAGGTGGATAAATTACCTGAGGCCTGATCTTAAGAGAGGGATGTTTTCACAGGAAGAAGAAGATCTCATTCTCAGTCTTCATGAAGTTCTTGGAAACAGGCAATTTAATTCATTCTCCATTTTTTCTTAAATCTTAAAAGATAAATTTGCAGTCCAACTATCAGTTTATACTTTCAGTTGACGTAAAACTCATGGTTTAATTTGGTATATATTACGCCAAGTGAGCCAACCTCATTTAAGAGGTGGGTTTGAATATATATGAACCTTTCATGCGCCTACACACGTGAAGGGCATTTTGAGTATAGTAAATATGCAGTGCCGCAACTAATTATTAGCTTAGTCTTTTAGTTGAGACGGAGTACGTGTTTCGGTTTGATATTAGAGTCGACCTCATTCAAGAGGTGGGTTCGAATCTAAACCTTTGCTCGCCGCACACACAAGTAAGGAGCATTTTGAGCATAATAAATGTGCAACTAATTATCAATCTAGTTGAGATGAAGCACATGCTTCAATTTGATATCATAATTAACCTCATGCAAGAGGTGAGTTCGAATCTGAACCCGAGGGGCGTTCTAAGCATAATAAGTGCAATCTAACTATGAATTTAAACTTTTAGTTGAGACAAAGTGCGTGCGTGTTTCAATTTAGTATGAGAACCAATCTTAGACAAGAGGTGGGTTAGAATCTGAATCTTCATGGGTCTGTAGTCTGTACATGTAAATATACAGTTCAACTATCAATTTAGTCTTTTAATTGAGGCGGATCATATCATCCGATTCTCCTTGCTTTTCATATGGCAATAATTGATCATATAATGGAGAAAGCAATATAATTATATTGTTGTTTGAAGCAGGTGGGCACAGATTGCAGCAAAATTGCCAGGGAGAACAGACAATGAGATCAAGAATTTCTGGAATTCATGTCTGAAGAAGAAGCTGATAAAGCAAGGAATCGATCCAAACACACACAAACCCATGGCAGAAACCCAAGACAACCCAAAGAATTCCAGTACTCTCCCATCAGGGCCAAATGAACTCCCAACTTTCCCAACCACCCCACAAATGGAGCCATCAAAGCTCCCATTTATGACCACCAAACAAGTCTTCGACCCTCTGTTCTTATATGAACCCCAAGAAAACCTCATCACTTTCCCCTCCGCTTGCAGCTACCTCAACCCAACAACCTACGGCTTTAGCTCCTTGCCAGGTCTGATGAACTTCGACACAAACGCGCAGATGACGGAGACAGATTATTTCTCGGACGGATCGAATTCAAGAATGGGTTCCAGCAACAGCTCCAACAACATTGGGACAACCCAGATGAACAACAACAACATGGAAAATGGGTCAAGATTCTCATGGGAAGTTGGGAACAGAATGGAAACTCTGTTTGATCAATATGGGTTCAACAATGGCGAGATGATCATCAAACCTGAAGAAGAAGAAGAAGAAGAAAGGCAGCTTATTGAAGCACACTGCCATGACTATACATTGACTTCTCTCCCTCAAGACTTGGGTGGGCCAAATCTTGATGTCTTCCACCAACTTTGAACAGTGTACAATTCAAAATTTTTTTTGGGGGTTTTATGTAATTTTTGGGTTTTATTGGGGCCCTCCCCTATGATATACAGACAAAATATACACAGGTGCATGTTCATAGACTTGAGGTGTGAATTCTTTATCCTTCATCCTCTGATTCCTTGTTTTTCTGGTTTTTTTTTTTTTTTTTTTTTTTTTTTTTTTTTTTCTTAAGTATACAAGTTTTGTCAAAATGGATCTGTAATTTTACTGGTGTCCTGTTGTTTCAAGAGTTGAGATTAATGTTGCTTTGCATTTTTTGATGATTGGTAATATTTTACATATATATGTTGTACTATTAATTATGAGTTTGACTTGTATAAGTATACATGCTTCCAAAAATGTTGGTCTTATTTAAATTTGTTGTACAAGTTCAAATTCTCATAATTTTTACATTTTCTTTTAATGTTATACTGAATTACTCAGTCAAAAGACCTTGTGGTCAAATGGCATAAATGACTCATTGAATGAGAGGTCACGGAATTGAGCGTCAATGGATGCGGTATTAACTCGGTAAATTATTGTGTGGACCATGGTTCACATAATGTTATGTGGACCATAACATAAAATACATTTTTAATATATTAAATGTACATTATTTTTGTACTGAATATACATTATACAATATAATGTACATTCAGTACAAAAATAATGTACATCCCCAGAATACAATGTACATTATTTTTGTGCTGAATGTACATTATTTTTGTACTGAATGTACATTATTTTATAATATACAAAATATTGTCCACACAACTTGTATGGACCATGGTCCACACAATAATGATTGATTAACTCTCGTTAGGCTTTAATAGGTTGAATATATATATATATATATATATATATATATATATATATATATATATATATATATATATATATATATATCAAAAAACATAATAAATTTCAATTCAGGTTATACCCCTGGTTTATATTCGTTTTTTCTGTTAATATTTTTTGTACCTTCTGCTATAAAAGTTGTACTACATAATTTTATTAACAAAAATATCCCTGCCGTTATAACTTCTGTTATCTTTTCACATTATTATTATCATGTACATGCCTACACAATATTTTTTCTTACATCCTTCAGTGGTAAGTTTGAATTCATTTAGGTTTTAATTAAAATGTTACCATAATTATATTTAGTAATTTATCATTTCTATAATTCTTACTTCAGTAATATTAAGATGAATTATACAATTACAATTGTATATATATATATATATATATATATATATATATATATATATATATATATATATATGAATAGAAATTTCATGTAACAGGGTCCATATTCGTAACTGCAATTTTACAAATTTTCTTAATTATGATATTTAGCTACTAGCAAACTGAATAACAGACTGACTGTCTTAGATCCTTGATTGAGCCGTCATTAAGATAGAACGACTAATAAAGTGTAAAGCGGAAGACTAATGCAGAAAGTAAATAACCACATATGTTTGTTTACCCAGTTCGATACAGTGTGTATCTACATCTGGGGGACGATTACCGAGGCGTCCAATCCACTAATTCATAATCAAATGTACAAAGGTAGAGAAAAACAATCTCACCCAAGTGCCCCACACAAGGTCAGTACCCAGTCTACAAAGGTTTAGTGGATTGTTGAACTCGGAGAGCCACGCATGCAGAAGTCCAATGAAATCCCTTCAATTGAAGAGCTAACTCTGATGCAGTCCGCTTCAATGAAGCAGTCCCACGTTGTTCCCACAACTGAGTGATCTTCGCGTCCTATCGGTTAAGCAACGTTGATACTTCTCAAGTTCTTCTTCATAATCACCAAGAACTTATTGTTTTGAGAAGAGGCATGACAACCAGAGATGTGTATTTTGTTAGTATAGAGTGTTGCGGCTTCAATCAATGCAACCCTAACTTCTGAGCGAATGAGGATATATATACTTCTTTGATTTGGACACTCTCCAAATATATCTCTGATTGTAGATGGTAGGACTTTTGTGAAAAAAGAAATGTTTAAGATTCGATCCATAACTTTCACGCTGATCCACTGATATTCTTTCCAAAACTGTCACCTCATAACCGCGTTCCAGATTTTTAGAAAATTTTCCTTTATCAGATTTTCAGATGCTTGATCTAGCAATGCGTCTGTTGATTGTACTGATCAGTCAGTCTTCTTCGATGATAAACAGACACCAAGCTAAACAATATCTTAATTTGCCATAATAATATTGCCAATTATATGTTGGTTTTTTTTTTTTTTTTCCAGAAATCAAGCACTAACAAACTCCCCCGTTGGCTATTATTTGGCAAAACAACTCGATTAAAGATGAAATATCTTAACTAAAGATAGAGAAAAGCATAATAAAAAGGCCAATACTGGCAACAGTCATAGCAAGGAAAGTATTGTTTTATTTACAACCCATAAAGTCATCAACACATAAACCGTGCTGGATAAAAACATAGATCAGACTATTTCTTCACAAAAACACGCTCAGACAGGGCCAAAAGGTACTTCAACCAACCACAAAACACCATCACAAACACAAATACTCCCCCTGAGTTATAGCACTCCCCCTTTTTGCAAATGATAGAAAAAGGACACGTTAAGCATGAAAGGGACCTTCACTGTCAGTCTTCACATTGTCACCAGCAGCAGACTTAGACAAACTCATTCGGAGTAGAATAGTTGGAAGTTCAGTGTGAGCCGCATTGAGCTGATTTGAAATAATATTACTCACATTCTCCAGCTCAGACACACGAGCCTTCAATCGCAGGGACAGCTGCACATCTCGAGCATAGGGGGTATCCTCAACAGCAGTATCAGTCTCAGAAGTATGCGGAGCATCAACATGAGTAACATCCCTGATGTGTTTGCCAGTCAAAAGGCGTGGATCCACAATATATAGTAGAGTAGGAGCAATGATCTCACTTGGCATCGGAATCAAACCCTGGGAAGTTAGCACTCCAAAGATAAGATTGGGATAAGGAAGCCTTACCTTCTGTTCCATGGGATGTATTAATGTGAGAATATGATAGAAGATCCATCTCCCTAAATCAATGGTCATCTTGGTGCCAACTCGAAACAGAAGAGCAGCTAGAATCTTGCCGACTGTATGAAAATGCGCCGATGGCAGCCAATTGTGCAAAGAAATTCGGTGTAGCATAACAAACTTGGAAGTAAATTGAGAGCTGAACAAGGTATCATTGTCACCAGTTGGCCATACAGGTACCAGTCCTCCAGTGAGGGTCTTAGCAACCAAATCCCAGTAAGAAATTTCTTCTTCCTCAACTGTCTTCAACCCATAATACTGATTGATCATGTCTGGTCCAAACACATGCCACTTACCCCTAATGAAGATTTGCTGGCACTTCTCGCTAGTCAGATTTTCAATCTCCTCATTGAGGTTGAAGTAGAATTCGTAAGTTAGCAACTTCGAGAAAGAACAAATGGATGTCACTGTCTTCAGCAGACTAACCTCACTCAAAAGGGGCAATATATCACACACTGAATTCAACTAATTCTCATCCACTGATCTCTGTACGATCAGCTCACGTCTCACCATTGTAGACCATTTGTCTTGAGCAGTTTCAGAGACAAACTGTGGCTTGTAAACAGAAGTATCAGGACTTTCTGGAACGACAGTAGGAACATTCTGCACATCTGGAGTAACACTCATTCCTCTTGGCTTTGAAGCAACTTTCATTTTTCGGCTTGTTGTTGACGGAAAAACCATAGGAACTTTACTTTTAACAGAAGACCTCAGGGTCTTAAAAACTTGTCTGGCTGGCGGATCACTTTTAGCCTTCTGCGAATAAGCAGACCTTCTTTTCTTCTCTGGTTGAGTAGACTCTGTAGGCTCATCACCAGCATCCACAACAACTTTCTCTGGAACTCCTTTTCTTTTGGACTTTCGCCTTTCTTTGACAGGTGAGCTCTTTGTAGGACTCGGAGAATCAGAGTTGCTGGTCTCAGACCCATGGACAGTAGAGGACGCTAGAAGCTTGGTGACTTCTCTGATTTTGTAGGATGTGGAATTTGGGTGTGCTGTCTCTGCCACTGTTAGAGACTCAATTGAGTCAGAGGATGGAGCCTTTGAACCATATACTTCAGCCAGAATTCTTTCATTATCACTGTCTGTTGGAATAGGAGGATCATGCCTTGGTTGTATCATGGAAGATGTATAGACAGGGATACATCAACTGACTCATAAGCACGAGGGCTTTCTGACTGTTCAGAGAGAGAAGCAACAGACTCTTTTTGTGGATTTTCAACCGGACACTTTTCATCAGTTTCAATTGGACACTTCTCAACAGAGGGCTTATCAGATATAGTGGATTCAGGGTCAACAGGAACCACAAGTCGATCAACATCAGAAGATAACACAACTAAACTTGACTTATCAATATCATCAGACTTAGGGACAATATCCTCAGTTTCAGCCACAATAACAGGTTTTACAAACTCAGGATTTACAGAGGACAACTGGTGTGGAACATTAGATACATTAGGCTTAGTAGGTAATAAGAGTCCTGGAGATTTCGGACTAATATCAGACTTCTCAGTAGGTAGATAAGACTCAACATCAACAGATAACAACTCAGAAGGCTTATCAGGAGAAATTTCAATAGGAGTGTAAGAAGTGTTTGACCTATTTTGTAAGAGCTCTATTCGCCGCCTGGCTTCCTCCTGTGCTGCTTGAAGATATAAAGGATGTGCTTCTTCCCGTCGTCGAGAAATTTCGTCCCATTCCAGAGCCCTTTGTGCAAAGAACTTGAGGAATGCCCCTACACGATTCCCGTCTTCTGGTTCGTCAATAGAGGCTGGACTTATATCATCATCTGCTTCAGAAGCCATCACCAAAAGATCGCTTGTATCCTCGTCTGACTAGTTTTCATAGAACTCAGGGTAGTCGGATATCACCGTGACAAGGATCTCATCTCGAAGAACAGGATCCAACTTCAGCTTCTTCTTCATCGCTAGTTGGAGAAGCGTATTCACATGCTTCCGGGCACTTTCTAGTGAGTGATTTTTCCTTCCCAACTTGATTATTATGTTTCTCACTGCATCGGCCATATCTGCTAGAGTTTTGAAAGAGGGGATGAGGAAAAACCCTAGGCAGAGAGATTTGAGAGATGGCTAACAGAGAACAGAGTTGTGTTGAGAATTTATTTTTCCACTAAGATCGATCATACGAAAGATATAATCCCAAGGGTGAGGAACGTTAATCAATGCGACTGACAAGATGCATGCAGCTATGAAGTGATTGATGCAACGATATAGCTCCTTTTTAGGGATTAAATGGAAGATTTGAAAATTGAAAAAGACAATTTAATTTAGGTAAACTCGGTTAAGATATTTACTTAACAAAACAGAAGACGGTTAATTTAGGAAGTCAAAATTTTAAAATTTGACTCGAGGTTGAGAAAACCAAAACCCTTCTTCTGATTTACCGTTCCGCCTTAACAATCCATCCTACAGATCCCCAGAGCAGATCTTAGAATCTCAAATCAATTTGCGTCTAGAGGCTTAGTCAGTATGTCGGCCAGTTGTTTATCTGTCTGAATATATTCCAACTCTATCTCTTTTGCTTCAACCAAATCTCTGATATAGTGATGCCTTATATCAATATGTTTGGTCCTGGAGTCTTGAACTGGATTCTTTGAAATGTTTATAACACTGATATTGTCACAGTAAAGTGTCATAGAGTCTTGAGTGAGACCATAATCCAGCAGCATCTGCTTCATCCAGACAACTTGAGTGCAACATCCTCCAGTTGCTATGTATTCTGCCTCAGCTGTACTCAAGGAAATTGGATTCTGTTTCTTACTTAGCCATGATACTAAGTTCTTCCCAACAAAGAAGCATCCACCAGATGTGTTTTTTCTGTCATCAATGTTTCCTGCCCAATCAGCATCACAGTATGCAATCAGACTCAGTTCACTGTCCTTGGAATACCATATTCCATATTGAATTGTACCCTTGATGTATTTCAAAATCCATTTAGCAGCTATCAAGTGTGATTCTTTGGGAGCTGATTGATATCTAGCACACATGCCAACACTGAACATTATGTCTGGACGACTAGAAGTTAGATTGAGTAGACTACTAATCAGACTTCGATAGACTGTGGAATGTACTGATGGACCCTCATCATCTTTAGACAGCTTTGTAGAGGTTGAAGTAGGAGTCTTAGGTGTTTTACATGATTCCAGATCAAACTTTTTAACCAAGTTCTTAGCGTACTTTTCTTGGGAGATAAAGTATCCCTCGGAACTTTGCTTAACTTGAAGCCCTAGGGAGTAAGCCAGTTGACCAACCATGGATATTTCAAACTCTTCCTTCATAACTTCTACTAAATCATCAGTATACTTTTGTAGAGTAGACCCAAATACAATATCGTCTACGTAGATATGAGCAATTGTAATATGACTTCCAGTGGTTTTAACAAACAACGTTTTGTCCACACTCCCTCGATCATAACCATGATGTAACAGATACTGCGTCAGTCGTTCATACCATGCCCTAGGAGCCTGTTTGAGTCCAAAGAGAGCTTTCCTAAGTTTGTAGACATGAGTTGGGTGAACTGGATCTTCAAATCCCTTAGGCTGTGCCACATAGATATCTTCATGCAAATAACCATTCAGGAATGCTGTCTTGACATCCATTTGAAACAGTGTGAAGCCCAGAATGCATGCTATCGCTAGTAAGATTCCGATTGACTCTAACCGAGCAACAGGTGTGAATGTTTCATCACAGTCAACTCTTTCTATCTGAGTATATCCTTGAGCAACTAAACGAGCTTTGTTTCTTGCAATGTTACCTGCTTCATCAGTTTTGTTTTTGAAAATCCACTTTGTTCCGATTATGTTTACACTGTCAAGTCTTGGGACAAGATCCCACACATGATTTCTTTCAAACTGATGTAGTTCCCTTGCATTGCCTTAACCCATAAGTCATCCTGCTGGGCTTCCTTCACATTTTTTGGCTCTATTTTTTAGGTGTAACAGGCGAAACCAGATATTTCTATCAGATTGCTCTTCACCCTGCTTCTAGTGTGCATTCCATCTGTTGGATCACCAATTATGTTGTCTGATCGATGATTTTTCTGAGTTCTGGTGGGCTTATTCTTTCCATCCCCATCAGAAAGCAATTTTTCCTTTTCAGAATTATCTTCATCTTCTGCCAGCGATTCATGTGTGTCAGTTAGTTTGTCTGTGCTAGACGTTTTTGGTGGATCACTGATAGAGTTGTCTGACGCTGGATCACTCAAAGATGCTTCATTTGATTATTCTGGATTGTCATCAATAACCACATTTATTGACTCCATGACTGTTTGAGTTCTTTTGTTGTAGACCCTATAGGCTTGACTGTTTGGTGAGTATCTAAGAAATACTCCCTCATCACTCTTGGGTTCGAACTTTCCTCTTTGTTCCCGGTCAATTAGAACATAACACTTGGTTCCAAACACATGAAAGTATTTCATGTTTGGTTTCTTTCCTTTCCATATCTCGTATGGCGTCTGAGAGGTACCGGGTCTGAGATAGACTCTATTGACTGTATGACAGGCAGTATGCACTGCTTCTGCCCAGAAACGTTGTGGCAGCTGTGAGGCATGTAGCATTACTCTTGCCATTTCTTGCAAGGTTCGATTCTTCCTTTCCACAACCCCATTCTGTTGTGCCGTTCGTGGAGCGAAGAATTCATGAGCTATCCCATTTTCTGAACAGAATTCTAAATATAAGGTGTTCTCAAACTCCTTTCCATGATCACTTCTCAACCTTTGGATTTTTACAATGGGCTCGTTCTTTTCTTTTTGAACTCTTATGCATAGAGTTTTGAAAGCAATAAACGCCTCAGATTTTTCTCTTAGGAAATATACCCAGCTGAACCGTGAGAAATCGTCCACACACACAAAGATGCATTTCTTTCCGCCAATGCTTTCAGTTTGAGTTGGGCTCAAAAGGTCTATATGAACCAGTTCTAGATATCTCTTAGTAGTCATCATCTTTACTGCTTTGTGAGGAGTCCTGATTTGTTTTCCAATAGCACATGCACCACAAACTCCTTCATGTTCTACTTTAAGCTTTGGTATCCCTCGAACAGCATCAAGCTTGATCATTTTGTCCATATCTCTAAAATTTATGTGTCCCAAACGTCGATGCCACAGTTTTGATTCGTCTACTTTTGACATAAAACAGGTAGTCTCATTTGTTAAAACATAGCAATTGTCAGAATAGCGAGTACCTTCCATTACCACTTGATCTGCCTTATTGCGGACCCTACAGCAGTTTCGGTTGAAACATACATTCCAATTCTGATCACACAGCTGACTGATGCTAATAAGATTTTCTTTCAAGCCACTGACCAAGAGAACTTCGTCCAGATGCGGCAGCCCTGACACATTTAAAGTACCTTTACCAACTATCTTTCCCTTTTGTCCGTCCCCATACGTCACTGATCCACTGCTAGGTTGAACAACCATAAGACACTTGGCATTTCCAGTCATATGTCTGGAATAGCCACTGTCGAAGTACCATCTTGCTTCAGTCATAGATGCAGTCAGTACAATTGTGGGATAACAGATTACCTCTGTTTTTCTGACCCAAACTTGCCGCGTGAAAGGAATGATAGACTTGTTCTGATATTTCTCCTTCTTCAGATCTCTGTAGAAGAAGTAGCATTCAGGTCTGGTGTGCCCTTTTGTTAGACAGTAGTGACAAATGGGTACATACTGTCTGACTTTAACATACTTAGCTTTAAACTTTGAGTGTTGAGACTGAAAATTGACTCTGCTAGGTTTAGCCTCAGTAATCAGAATAGACATGTTTCCTTTCTGATAGAACTGAGTTGATCTTGATGATTGTCCTTGTTCATGATTGAGAACTTAACCACCACCAGATGTACCTTCTTTGATAAAAACAAGAGCTGACATTGATGACTGTCCTCGTTCAAATCCAAGTCCCTTTTTATCATTAGGATTTCGACCAGAATCCAAAATTTTGTCTAAGGTTGAAGTGGTATCCATAATCTTGATGGTTTTCTTCAGATCCTCTAGTTCTTTTATTAGTTTTCCCTCTTGAGATCTGATCTGAACAATAAGGTCTTCTTTCGTAACTAATTCAGTGTTTAGTTTCTTCAGTAGATCATCTCTGTGTTTCAGATCTTCATTCA